CAAATTATCTAGTTAATACAGCAAAAGTTTGTGAATAGCTCAGTAAATTTGTATTACTAATCTATATTTCATCAGTATTTAATACCAGTTGATCTGTTCGATTCGCTTCTAATTGGCCTCGCTAAATCGGGATCAAAGTCAGCAAGTACTATTCATATTTACAATTTAAAAACTATTCTATTCAATAGAAATCTAGTTTAGTATAAAAATTTTCATTAAAATAAATTTCAGAAAGACAAGTTCTGGTTGTTGGAAGAACAAACTAGAAACCAGTTAACGTCCCACTGACACCAACTATAATCTCTTATGCATCTATAGCAACTAAGCATAAGAAAAACAGGTATTTATAAGATCCTTATTTTGATTGTTATCGTCAGTTGTTGGCACTAATGTATACTGCTTTGGTCTGAACTAATTGGAGATTAAACGTGTCTTGCATGAATCTATGTAAATTTTGTAAGATATCTTGACAGTGAAAAAGTTTCCATCAAAGACTTCATTTTATCGATCAGTTATGTAATGGTGTTTTCAAAAGAGTCAAATATTTATGAAAAATATTCTTGAATTGTCTGTGTAACACAATGTCATATTCGAGTTCACTTATACTTTTATATAAGTATGATAAAAAGTAACAAAACGTAATATTAATTATACGAAAATGGATGATTAAAAATGCTCGCATTTAGCCTTAATCTCCTTTTATGTGTTTTATATGTAAGTGATATTACAACAGTGGCTAACTAAATTATATACATTTTAGCATACTGCAACAACCACAGCACGCTTTGAAACGCTAATTGTTGAGTCATTGGCGGAGCATTAAACCACCGGAAAACAATGTAAAGCATAAAATAAACAACCAAACTTTCTAAACCTTGGCTTGGATCGAAATGCTACAGTACAGTACAGAGCGTGCAGCATTTGCATTGTTTTGAAATAGCCCTTTGTACGCTCCATATTACTGGCGGAAATGCAACTTCGAAAAATCTGTCTTTAAGTACCGAATATATTTTTTTATTTTTTTTCGCCATGTGTATTCTACTGATTTTTTTGTTGGCTATTCATATAAAATTAAGATAATTATCGATTCCATAAAATAAAGAAATTCCGCGTAAAAGCTCTCAGGCTAAATGATTGTCGAACAATCAATTTTCTATTGCAGAATATTAAGTTTATGCTCAATGTTGAATGTTTTCTGTAAGTTAAATGTTTTAATTAAGCCGACAGGTTATGAGCTTAGCAGACAACGCTATACATGAACAAAATGAGCGGTAAGATAAGTATTAAAGGGAAGAAATTTTAGATATTTGCTTTTTAAGGACATTTTTTTTATATTATTCTCCTATTCTGCATTTACATTTATTCAACAAATTTGCTAGCGATAATTTTCATATTTAGAGCAAGAAGAACTCGCGTTCGAGTCGGCTAGATAATTCCGTTTAGTAAAATCTATGACTGTTGGCACTTTCTTTGCGAATGCCAAGAAACAGTCGTATATCGCCTTTCGGCTGATAAGATAGTTCTTCGCCGAGTTCCCAATAAAATCCACTGGTTCTGATCTCTGGTAATGTGAATTTGTGGAATATTTCAAGACGGCGTCGATCACCTTGCATCTACTCCAGTTGTCGCACCACAATTTGAGCTGTCAATACAGATCGTGGTCCTGTTTCAGTAATGGTTTGAAAGTGCATACGGAGAATGTGGTACATAATGGTGATAGAGACGCAACCTGATCGCGACACATTACTTAGCGTACTGTCCTCGTACCTATACCTAAGTATATATTATGCTGGTGTGTGTACCAAGTTTCAGTTGACGTTGTAACGACAGTTTGCTAAAGACGCACGCTTTATAGCAATGCATCTTAACCCTCACTCACTCATCGTTCCACTCACCTGTGATGGCAAACCTGCTGGCCACTGTAGCGCTGCGAATAGGAAACAATGGCGCGCCATACGGCAGTTGCGGCGCCTCACCGTGGAAGACGACACGATCGCAGTCCATCGCCACGCGCCGAGCTGTCCGCGAGGCGCAATGCAACCATTACACCTGCGGAGGAAGAGCAAAATGAAAATCGAATCATGATAACATTAACACTTCAAGCTTATTCATGGAGAAAACAAAAATAAAATCGTAAAATAAACGCAGTGATGACTGCAGAGTTGCATGTATATATATGTGTATTTATATAGTAGACCGAAATTCGTATGCGGCGAATGCGGAAATCATCCATTTCAACTGAGTGTCGATACAGTCTATATATGTATGTCGGTTGGTATATTTCCGGTAGAACTCTTTTCATTAGCACAAATTAACATGGAAATCGCTGATGACCATGCGGCGATTATAATACTTCTAGCTGGTTATTTGACGCTTGGATTCATGAAGTTATCTCTACAGTAGTTCATCTATGGTTAATTAACTGTAGTTATGGCTGACTCACCTGCAGGGTAAACGCAATGCCGGACGATCTGACATGGCGCCAAGCTTTGATTTGTGACAAGTAGATAGCAGAAGCAGAAATATGTTGAGATGTCGTATGCGATATGTGACTGTGGGATGCATCTGCGAAATCGTAAAATTGTATATTGAATATTAAAGTATATTAGGTGGAATTATATGGTTTGCATAACAAATTAGGTGTGTGTCAATATCTATGCTAATGTGGACAATGTGGTTTATTTAATTTAAAATTTGACCTTATTAGACATAATCATGTATATTTAATATAATTTATTTGCCAAGGTTGTAATAGTTCAAAAAATTAAGTTACACCTTGTTTTAGAAAAGTAATGATATATGAATTTGAACCAGACTGGTCCATTAAAATTGCGAATTCAAACCGACTTAATAAAGATTCTTAGATTGGTACAACCTTTTTTATGCTAGCGTGAGCTTTGATCTCCATATCTCAATTAGGTTAGTAGTTAATATTATATTTATGTCAAGAAAAGTTGTTGGCGACTTTACCATAGAAAAACAATTCTCATTATTCAAGTTTGCTGAAATTTTGAGTTGCCAATGGAATTCGTCTACGGAATCGTATTACAGTATTACTGAATGTTTGGGTGAGTCTACTAATGAAGGCGGAATTATGCGGAAGCTTGCCTCGTGTCAGTTGTCCACGCCTCTGTTAATGAACAATATATCGTAAAAGTGAATGAACAGGTCTTGAAAATCTTCATTTTGCATACAGAGGATAGAATTTCACATTTCTTATGTATCTGAAGAAAATATTCGATTAATTTTTGGTATGAACATTTACACGTTAGACCCGCATCAAAAACCTGATCTTTTTCAAAACGCATGTAAGGTCCAGAAGAGATGCAATAAATACAATACAATACCGGTCTATTATGATGGAGATTTTGACTTAAGTGATTTTTTTATATTTCAAAATTGAAAGTTTCATTAAATAAAACTATGTTCGCATAAATTAAAATATGAACAAAAATTCAATAATTAATATAAGAAAAATTAAAAGTAACAAATGTGTGGGCCAGAAAATTATCAAGTGTATTATCACCGTATCTCTGAGTAAATTAAAATATCATAAAATGAAATATAATAAATTTTCTTAAAGTTTCGAGCTTAATATTACTAAATTTAACATTTGACCGCTAGGTGTCAAAAAATTCTAATTAGATCAATATTTTTATTAAAAATATGAATGCCTATGATAGATAGATAAAAAAAGTTCAGTAATAAAAAGTGCACTTATAAAATTGTAGCGCCGAACTGCTAAGATAGGAAAACACTTTATTCGGAATTTTTTACAACTCTAAATGGCTTTGATACCATATGTATAACTAAATCTGAAAACGTAAAAACAAAAATCAAGTTAAAAACAACCTTAAAGTCAATAGTGATCCCATATCAGCTATTCTCTAAAACTGAGCCACTAGATTATTAAATTGACTTAACTCGTCACCCTTAGCATTTATATATATTATATAGGGTTTCCATCTGGGTGTTACAAACTTCGTGACAAACTTAATATACCCTGTTAAGGATATAAAAAATGTTTTTTATTAAATGTTTCATTGAATCATAGTTTTTCAAATGATTTTCTATATAGAGAATCCATTAGCTAATCCCGTCAATAAAATACTTGAATGTCTCGAAATCGTTCGAATTTGTAATGCATGGACTTGTAAGCATGATGCGGTACCTCGAAATCTTAGAACCGAGTAAAATATTTTCTAAGCCACAAGATTATCTCATAAAATTTTAACCGTGAAAATAAAACCACATGTTAACGCTTTTCTTAATGCAAAGTTTTATTACCTCTTTGAGCTCATTTGGAGTCAATGTCAGCAATTTAAAGATGTATAAAATATTCCACAAACTTTTATAGGCCTTAGTGTTACTTGAAGTAGATATTTGAATTTCGGAAATAAAAATCATCTCAAATAGTGTCTAATCTTTCGAATATATTCTCTTCGTGATGACAAGCGACTATTTTAAGACCCACACCCGAAGTTCTTTTTTACAAAAAATAATTTTTGAGACAGGCATCCTACTACAACGAGCTGCATATCCATTATTATAACCAAAATTACTTGAGTAGAACGATGAGAGATATTGAGAGCCTCTGCTATCGCTCTAAAACTCTCACAATGATTTCTTAGTAAATTCATTTTTTTACTTTCTCAATATTATTGTTCTTCATTAAGAGAGTGGAAGATGGAAAGCACGCATAAGGTACGAGCTCTTTTTATATAAAACGACATTTACTTCAATTAAATTTTATGGAAAAATGTTTTTTTTTGTTTGGCTCTTTGAAGAATTAAATAATACATACATACATACTAGCAGTCTTCGATTCGTCAAACCTTTAAGTAGTTTAAACTTAAGCGTAGCAATTCGAACAATCTGATAATCAAAACATGAAATATTGTGAAACTAACGATTGAAATATAAAATATTTTATAGCTTTAAGGTTTTGTCTACAAATTACAACAACATTAACTACCTAAATATTTACTTTAATTTCTTTTTCCCAGAGTTTTGGCACACTGAAATTACCCATTGAAGAGTTGGATCTTTCGAACAATCTGATACGACGCATACCGGAGAAATCCTTTCTCGGCCTGAAAGAATCACTTACCGAGTTACGCTTGGCAAATAATCTACTGGGCGATAGCCTGAATCCGATATTTTCCACCGCCGAATTTCATCCGCTGAAAAATCTGAAAACTCTCGATCTATCTGGCAACAAAATCAAATCGATCGAAGAGGGTCTGTTGAAAGGCTGCGTCGACTTGAAGGTAAATGAACTGTAATTTTACTTATGTAAACACTTACATGCATACATAATTGCTATGTTTACCAATGCTTGTCTTTATTATTTATGTAACCAAACGTGTTAACAAACAACGCACATATTTAGTTGCATCACAGACTCACCTATTTATATACATAGGTGCAATTACACGTATGAATTTATAATATCTATGTGTGCATTTATAAAAATAATTGCAGCAAAAAGTCGCTTGCACATTCCAGACACATTGTTTGCGCAAAAGCTGATGAACTGTCCATGCACACGATTCGCACATTTGTACATGTGTACCCACCTACATATGTATGTATGTAATTGCAGCTTAAGTGTCGTCGGCAAATAGGTGATTGGTCAGTTTTTCAGTTAGCATTTGGATAAATGTGCACAACTTTGGTGTATGCAGGTGCAATATTAAGTAGTATCTTTCCTTTAAATACAGACGTGTCTTGGCGCAGTCGCCGCGTTTGTTTACCAAAGGTGCAATAAAACCACCTAACTGCAGACCTAAGCAAGCATTTTTTTATTTAAATACTTGTAGCGGTTCAACAGGTCGACTCAACTTGTAATGGTTGTCTTCGATTCGCCAGTTGTCTGCCGCTTTGTTTGTGTTTTGCTTACTAGTCACGTGGATATCTCATTAAGCTGGTANATCTCGAAAGCAAAAGTTTAGCAATTAAAATCGAGAGCAAAAATGATTACGCTGTTACGTGATTGGATGCACCGCTGCAGTTTACAGCATGCCTCCATGTATTGTGCACAGACATATCATAACGTTTGTATGTGTGTAATTATGAAGATAAATGTACACTTTTACCACTTTACTAAAAGCTAGTGTAATTTACTGCAGCTTTTTCTCACATTCCAGTACATGAAGCACACACAAATGTACATGTTTTACGATACTTTATGTACTTGTATGAATAAACTCTTTGGTATGCTGAAGCATGTCGCTCATGCAAACATATCTGCTTTAATACACTTTCACTGATGGCCCAACATTAAATCGGTGGCGACAAAAAAACGCCAAAAATCTGATGGCAAATAAGAAATCTTCACATGGCAGATATAAGTGGGTATGTGTGTTGGCACGTCTCAAGGCAACACAAAAAGTAATAAGAAAATGTAAGATCTCGTAGCAGCGATTTGATTTGATTTGATTCTCGATCCAACGCCAATGCCAGCACAAGCCATTTACCCACTTTGTCAGCCAATTAATTCAATTGCAAAAGCGCCGCAGCCAAAGAATCGGTAATTGTGCGTGTGCTGATGAAAGTTTAAATGTAATACATAGTTTGGTAGCAGCGAATAATTTCTACAAATTACTGGCAACAACACACATACATGAAAATATTTATACGAGTTTGTGTGTGTGTGTGTGTGTGCACAGCCTCAACCTAAAAATTCAGTTATGACTCGCAACATCGTTTGTGTCACTTAAAATTTACTTTTCTCATTGTTTGTTGAATTTTTTTTTTTGCCGTTTTTATTGTAACTCACTATTTTTGGACCGCATGCAAAATATTGCCATGTGGAATCTGTGTAGAAAGTGAAATTTACTGCGAAATCTTCAGATGTTTCATTTGCTTTATTTTGCAAATATGTTTGTTATTTTTGTTCTGCTGATTATTGTTGTTGTTGCTGTGTCGTCTGCGTCATTAAAATGTTGTTAGCTTTGCATTAGAAATTAGCGTAGGTGTTGCTCAATGTTGACAACAAAAAACTTTGTGATTTTGTTATTGTTGCTACTGTTGTATATGATATATATATGTATATGTATATAAGTAACCACACATCAGTATATAATTTACATAACGTAGCCGTGTCTTGGCGTGTGACAATACTTTTCCAACTTCAATTGTTGCCTGTGAGTTGAAAAACTCTCAACGAAATGTGAAGTATGTCATCTTTTGCATAAAAACCTTAATTAATATTTATGCCCGGACGCCATTCATGTCAAATCGTACCGAATAATAAATATTTTTAAGGAGGCAAACTAATTTATAACTATTTAAGAAAGTGAAATAACCTGATTATCAACAACTCAGCGCATATTGTGTGCCTGGGTTTAGCAAAATACAAAAAATAAATCACTAAAAAGCTTTGACTTCGGCTGCATATAGCAACCATATGTATAACTAAATCTGAAAACGTAAAAACAAAAATCAAGTTAAAAACAACCTTAAAGTCAATAGTGATCCCATATCAGCTATTCTCTAAAACTGAGCCACTAGATTATTAAATTGACTTAACTCGTCACCCTTAGCATTTATATATATTTTATAGGGTTTCCATCTGGGTGTTACAAACTTCGTGACAAACTTATATAACACTGTTAAGGATATAAAAAATGTTTTTTATTAAATGTTTCATTGAATCATAGTTTTTCAAATGATTTTTTTCCTACAACCAATTCTATATAGAGAATTCATTTACTAATCCAGTCAATAAAATACTTGAATGTCTCCAAATCGTTTGAATTTGCAATGCATGGACTTGTAAGCATGATGCGGTACCTCGAAATCTTAGAACCGAGTAAAATATTTTCTAAGCCACAAGATTATCTCATCAAATTTTAACCGTGAAAATAAAACAACATGTTAACGCTTTTCTTAATGCAAAGTTTTATTACCTCTTTGAGCTCATTTGGAGTCAATGTCAGCAACTTAAAGATGTATAAAATAATCCACAAACTTTTATAGGCCTTAGTGTTACTTGAAGTAGGTATTTGAATTTCGGAAATAAAAATCATCTCAAATAGTGTCTAATCTTTCGAATAAATTCTCTTCGTGAGGACAAGCGCCTATTTTAAGACCCACACCCGAAGTTTTTTTTACAAAAAAATAATTTTGAGACAGGCATCCTACTACAACGAGCTGCATATCCATTATTATAACCAAAATTATTTGAGTAGAACGATGAGAGATATTGAGAGCCTCTGCTATCGCGCTAAAACTCTCACAACGATTTCTTAATAAATTCATTTTTTACTTTCTCAATATTATTGCTCTTCATTAAGAGAGTGGAAGATGGAAAGCACGCATAAGAAACGAGCTCTTTTTATATAAACGACATTTACTTCAATTAAATTTTATGGAAAATATTTTTTTTTGTTTGGCTCTTTGAAGAATTAAATAATACATACATACATACATACTAGCAGTCTTCGATTCGTCAAACCTTTAAGTAGTTTAAACTTAAGCGTAGCAATTCGAACAAACAACTTGTGTAAATACTTTAGAAAAGGTATTATCAAAATTTGAAATATTGTGAAACTAACGATAAAAATATAAAATATGTTATAGCTTTAAGGTTTTGTCTACAAATTACAACAACATAACTACCTAAATATTACTTTAATTCTTTTCCACAGAGTTTTGGCACACTGAAATTACCCATTGAAGAGTTGGATCTTTCGAACAATCTGATACGACGCATACCGGAGAAATCCTTTCTGCGCCTGAAAGAATCACTTACCGAGTTACGCTTGGCAAATAATCTACTGGCGATAGCCTGAATCCGATATTTTCCACCGCCGAATTTCATCCGCTGAAAATCTGAAAACTCTCGATCTATCTGGCAACAAAATCAAATCGACGAAGAGGGTCTGTTGAAAGGCTGCGTCGACTTGAAGGTAAATGAACTGTAATTTCACTTATGTAAACACTTACATGCATACATAATTGCTATGTTTACCAATGCTTGTCTTTATTATTTATGTAACCAAACATGTTAACAAACAACCACATATTTAGTTGCATCACAGACTCACCTATTTTATAACATAGGTGCAATTACACGTATGAATTTATAATATCTATGTGTGCATTATAAAAATAATTGCAGCAAAAAGTCGCTTGCACATTCCAGACACATTGTTTGCGCAAAAGCTGATGAACTGTCCATGCACACGATTCGCACATTTGTACATGTGTACCCACGTACATATATATGTATGTATGTAATTGCGGCTTAAGTGTCGTCGGCAAATAGGTGATTGGTCAGTTTTTCAGTTAGCATTTGGATAAATGTGTACAACTTTGGTGTATGCAGGTGCAATATTAAGTAGTATCTTTCCTTTAAATGCAGACGTGTCTTGGCGCAGTCGCCGCGTTTGTTTACCAAAGGTGCAATAAAACCACCTAACTGCAGACCTAAGCAAGCATTTTTTTATTTAAATACTTGTAGCGGTTCAACAGGTCGACTCAACTTGTAATGGTCGTCTTCGATTCGCCAGTTGTCTGCCGCTTTGTTTGTGTTTTGCTTACTAGTCACGTGGATATCTCATTAAGCTGGTATAACCACACTCCCCTTCTTCTTGTTCGAATCACCACTCAACAAGTAACTGATAAAAAAAATCCAGTTAAATAATACAAAAAGATATCACATTCGTTCAACCGTACAATAACTAATAGCAGCAACAGCGCCATGTTCCAATGTTGCAATCATTAAAAAAAATTAATTTTATATAGTTAAAAGCAATTATGAATACAAATCATTCTGCATTTTGCCGCAACTAAATGAAATTTAAAGAAGCAAGTTCACTTACAAACACTATAATTTTTATAAAATTAAAATAAATTAAAGGGAGATGAACTGCATGTCCCACATGTCATGTTTCCGATTGAGACAAACGTAATGAAAAATATATGAATATCTCTTGACTTTGTTTCTTTCGAGTTCATTTGTTTTTAAAGTAATTTTTTCTCATTTCTTTTCTCGCTCCCTCTCTAGAAATTTTAAAATCAGCTAAATATCTTAATCGTGTAGTTTTTCGAACTTAAGTGGACCGATCATGACATACAAATATACAATTAGTGAAATTATGACCTATTATTTAGCCATAATGTGCGATTTTATGATTTTTGAATTAAATGCATTAAATCTCTCTTTTCTAAATGTATTAATTTTCGAATAAAGCTCTTCTAAGTTTTGAAAAACATTTCCTTACAATTTTTAACGCTTTTGTAATTGTATTTATTTATTGCAGGATTTCTATGTGGATCGTAATTGTCTATCTGCCGTTCCATCCAACTCGCTCAATGGACCTAGTGCGCTGCGGCTTCTTTCTTTGCGTCACAATCACATAAGTAAGTCAAAACAAAAACAAGAAACGTTAACTTCGGCTGCACCGAAAATATAATACCCTTCACAGATACAATTCTTATAGCAACTATATGTATAACTAAATCGGAAAACGTAGCCGGTCAGTTTATATTGGTAGCTATGTATGTATATGATATGGCGTTGCGATCTGAACAATTTGTTCGAAGACACTAGCCTTGGACAATAATCTATGTAAAATTTTGTAAAGATATCTTGAGTAAATCGACTCTGCTCTTCACACAGATCATTTATATATATGCTTTATACCATAGCATACCAACAAATAAATTAATATTTATTTCCCAGTTAAGCTACTTAATGCTTTAACGCCTCAGAGCTGAATCATATAAACCAAATATAAGATGGTGTTAGTATGGAAGACAGCCTAATTATACGTTTTTTAGTCAATTTCATCGCTATACAGAGTTTTAAAACGATATTTAGGTTTGGACTCTGGTATAATTCCTTCCTTAGGATTGTCAATAGTGCGATAACTCACATTTACGCTAACGCCTTAAATTTAACGACATTCAAATACCATGCTGTCTTTTAATTGCAGACATTCATTAAAGACTTATACTACTTCAATAAATCCTAAGTGTAATATTTACGTACAAGTACAAGTGTACGTAAATAAAAGTACTTATGAATATGCATGGGTACCAAGAATGAGCAATCATAATTATCATTTGTCAATTACCATTAAACGATTTATTACGTTTTTAATATTTTTTTCTTCTCTTTGCTGCACTTATTTCCTGTTCTGACCAACAACATTACCACCGCTGTCATTATAATAATAACAACAACAAAAACACTATCATAAACAGCTACACTCCGTTATGAAGCTTTCAACGCGCAACCTGAACTGGAAATCGTCGATCTGCGCCACAACGAAATCAAAACGATCGAGGGTCTGGCATTTCAAGGTTTACGCGCCATACGCGAAATCAAATTGGCCGGAAATCGCATTACCAATTTGAATAGTGACGTTTTCGAGCATATACCCACTTTACAGAAATTAGATCTCTCCGAAAATTTCATACCTCAATTCCCAACTGTGTCGCTGGCAGCAATCGGAAATCTAAAATCGTTAAATTTGTCCTCGAACATGTTGCAGGTGTGTGCGCCAAGCAAATAAAATTCAAATTATTGCTAATTATTGAATTATTAATTTACATTTGATATTTCTCCACACCCAGCGATTGGATTACATGCACATGCAGGTGGTTAAGTCCTTGGAGGTGTTGGATTTGAGTCGCAATGGCATTACCACCATACCGCCGGGCACATTCCGCGATCTGGCCGAACTCAAATACCTCGATCTGAGCTTGAATTCGCTGCGGACTGTAAGTGTCTAAATGGATTTTTTTACAGAAATAAGATATAAGTAAATACTCACTCTGTTTCGATTTTTTCAGATTGAAGACGACGCACTGGAGGGTCTGGATAACCTGCAAACTCTCGTTATACGCGACAATAATATCTTACTAGTACCAGGCAGCGCATTGGGACGCCTACCGAGCTTGACCACCTTGCATTTGGACTTTAATCGTGTTGCTGCCCTTTCGAGTGAGATCTTAGGTTCCATTCAAGCAGAGGATATCACCACCTTGACACTAGCGCGCAATGTCATACGCGAACTGCCGACTGGCAGTTTTCAAATATTCGCTAATCTGCGCACACTCGATCTATCCGGCAATTCGTTGGCCGTCATTAGCGCAGACATATTCATGGGCTTAGATCAATCACTTAATGAATTGAAGCTTTCACAGAACCGCATTACAGGTTTGGGCGCAACACCGCTTGCCTTAACCGAACTGCGCAGTCTCGATCTGAGCGGTAATAACCTCGCTGACCTGCCACGCAATATCTTTCAGGGTTTAGAGAACTTACAGTATCTTAATCTCAGCGGTAATCATCATTTATCGCCATTGCCGGCCGCGCTTATACGACCACTTTCTCATCTGCAAGTTATCGATTTGAGCAACTGTGCTCTCAAGCAAATGTCGGGTGATCTGTTTGCCACACTGCAAGATCTAAAGCACATCTATCTGCACGACAATAATTTACAAGAAATTAACGATGGTAGTTTTGTCGATCTTTGGAATATTACATCAATCGATTTGTCAAATAATCAAATCACTTCTATCAGACCCGGCGCTTTCGTGAATGTGATGCAAATCAAGCGACTCATTCTGCGCGACAACCAGTTGTCAGCTTTTAAGGGTGAATTCTTCAACACCGGCACTGGTTTGGAGGAACTCGACATTTCGAATAATCATCTCACCTATCTTTTCCCTTCTTCATTCCGCATTCATCCGCGCTTGCGTGAAATCAAAGCAGCCAATAATAAATTCAGTTTCTTCCCTGCCGAACTCATTTCGACGCTGCAATATCTGGAGTATGTCGACCTGTCACACAACCAACTCAAATCGATAGAGGAGTTGGATTTCGCGCGTCTGCCGAGACTGCGAGCGCTGCTTGTCGCTTACAATCAACTGGACATGCTCAGCGAGATGGCTTTCCACAACTCGACTCAGCTGCAAATTGTCGATTTGTCTTACAACAATTTGGATCGTATCGGTGAACGCACATTTGAAGGTTTAGTGCGTCTGGAGATGCTTAATCTCGAGGGCAATCAATTGACTGAACTTTCTGATTTAATATTTGAGCGTTCGAAATTGCAAATGCTCGAAAATATAAACTTGGCTAAGAACAAATTCGATTATGCGCCACTTAATGCGCTGCAACGTCAATATTTCTTCGTCTCTTCAGTTAATTTGAGCCAAAATAAAATACGAGCTATTCCTGCTGACGACAGTATTATGGTAAATATCAAGGATCTTGACTTGTCGTACAACCCTTTAAGCGAGGGTGCCGTTCGCAACATACTCAACGAGCCAAAAACTGTGCGCTCACTCAACTTAGCCGGCACTAGTATTGCTCATCTTGAGCCATTGGAGACGCCTTTCCTGCAATATTTGAATCTCTCCCATAATAACCTCAAAACCATCGATGCTGAAATCTTTCAACGCACAACACTACTTGAAACGTTGGATCTGTCAGATAATGACTTAGAGAGCTTAAACGAACTGGCAGATGCCTGGCCAAAACTGCAGTCACTACATACTTTGGATCTTTCGAATAACAGCTTTGAGGTTATCTCACAAGATAATTTCGAAAGCTTAGACATGCTTCGCGTGTTGCGACTCAAAAGTTTGACACAAGTTAATCGCATCGAGAAGAATGCTTTTAAACATATGCCAAATTTAGAGAAACTCGAGGCGTATGATTTACCTTTGCTGGGCTACCTCGACGTTCAAGGAATACTCGAGCTATTACCTGGGCTTGAAGATATCGACTTAGAAATAAAAGATTCAACTATAGGCACCGAACAAATACAACCCGCTAAGCATCCAAGACTTAAAACAATCGGTATACGCGGAGATCGTCTAAAGACTATCTCCTCTGGCACGTTAGCTGGCTTAAAAAGCAGTGACCTCACCATTAAACTGCAAAACACATCTCTTACAACGCTGCCACCAGCCTTACTGTTCCCTGTGCCACGCTCTTCACACCTAAACCTCGACATTACTGGCTCCAAAGTTACCGTATTGGTGCCACAATTTCTTACTGCACTCGAAGATCGCCGCTCCAGTTTACAACTAAAAGGACTTGCCACAAATCCCATACACTGTGACTGTAATGCACGTGCGCTACGCCGCTGGTTACCCAACTCACATATGACTGATGTAGAGTGTCAATCGCCTGCCTTCCTGGAGGGTAAGAAGCTCATCGAAGTCGGCGATGACGAATTGACGTGTGATCCACGACGCATGACGTCCACAACGGCGCGCAGCACCTCACAATATATGTTGAAATCATCGTCGGGTCTGGTTACACGCCCCACCACCACCACCACCGAGGAACCAATGATCATCTGGAGCTTGGAGCCCACACAAGCGCCACCGATGAAAATCAAAACCAAAGCACCACTGATGAAGGCGCCCATTATGAGTAACGACGATACACTTATTATTGGTATAGTTGGGGGTGTGGTGGCCTTCATAGCCATACTTATCATCATCATCTGCATAGTGCGTTTACGCATGAGCAACGTGGAATATCACAATGGACCGGCTATGATCGGTATACCGCCAATGCCAATGGGTCCGGGTAGTGTGCCAATAAATTTCAAGGGTGCACCTACGGCACTGTACGCCGTTCCACCATACGCTACACAAAGTTATGCAACTCTGCCACATAAAGCACCGTCCATACACCAATCTACACAGAATCTGTCGCAACGCGCCGCCGCACAAAATGGACAGAACTCATACTCGACTATGTCGCGCATGTCGTACTTTGGTGGCACGCAGCAACAAGCCTCACCGCAGTCTAATGGCCAACAGCCGTACATTATCTATTCAGATGACAAAGTTTATAGATAAGGTTCTAAAGGGTCAATATGGCGGTGCAAGCAATATAACTTGGTGTTCAATCAGTGCTGGGTGGTCATACCGCCGAAAGCATATATACATACAAATATTATATATATATAAATATATATACATATATATAAACTTTCAGTCAGTTGTGTAACATTTACGCAACGTGTTTATAATATTTCGTTTAATTATATTTTATTTTATTTTATTCATTACAATTTTTATTTATTTTTTTTTAATTTTTTCTTATACAAAGCTAACTTTAACATTTAAGCGTGGGCAAGTTTTAAGCTTGTCACCTAGCGTTTAAAATATTATTATTATTATCATCGTAGTCTTAAGGAGGAATATTGAACCCAGTTTACCGTATCTAACAGTAATAAATGCAATTCGGTTCTTTGTCTATTATTTATAGTCAATTTAAAGCACACATTTTAATTTAATAGCGTATACCGGGTGGTACATTTACTTGATGGATATTTCTTGTTTACAAATTTAAACAAAATTGATTTTTTCATTGTTTAAGAATCAATATTGAAGTAACTTATTTATGTGGCTGCCTTGAAAGCGATTAAAGCAGTACACTTTGTCTTCCAAGATATTAATTTAGTACTGGCGTTGTTATTACTTAAGCGTAACAGTTGTCACTATCAAAACACAATAGCTGACTAAGGCAAATACACGTTATGGACCACCCTATACACTTATATTTCATTATTCGAGACTAAATAAATATATGTATGACATTACACCGTTATAGCGAATATTATAATAGCTCTCAAAGTGAAATAAAATAAATATAGTTTTTAGTATTCGTTAAGGGTTTCTGATGTGTAATATTTAAATCCGTTGATTCTATTGTTTAAAGAGCTGCGTAAAAATATTATACAATTGTAAATAGTTCAAGGCTGCTATATTGAGCAGTATACGTTAATTTGTGAAACTTACAGTAAAATCCCTCTTTTCTAGCGAGATTGTAAAACTTCAAAGTGAACTAATATTTCGTATAAGTAAATTAAATATGAAATATCTTAGATTAAGTGATCACTGTATAGTAAATAACGAAAATTTTAAATAAATAACAATTAAAAAATACCAAAATTAGAATTTTAAATTTTTTTATATAATATTAACTGTGGTTTATTGTATAGAAATTATTGGCTTTTTCAACTACGACATTTTGCCGAGCTACTTCTTTTTTTTTTGATACCAATCTTGACGTTATTAAAAAAAACTGAAGGTTTCTTCATGTCTTAATATAAGGTTTAGTAAAAAGAAATCCATTATTTTTCCAGTAGATGGTTTTAGTAATCTACATTTCGCGTTATATAAGTTCGATTAGGTCAATATGGCATTAAAGAGACAAGTTTTCGTACTAAAAATTATTCTCAGACAGTTTTGCGGTTGCTTTAGTAAATATTGTTTGAGCCCCGTCAAGCATGACCACCAGCAAAGAGCCATATTTTTTCAGTTTTTCTTCAATAAATGCGAAAACGCCAAGGAAAGAAAAGGCAGTGAAAATGTGAATAGTGCTAACGGTTCAGACACTATAACAGTAATTTTGATGTCAAAGATGCACCACACTCTGAAAGGCCAATTTTCGAAAGCTTCTAAAATTTCAAGCGAAAGCGGTCGTGATTGAATCGCTTTGAGCTTGCACAAGCGGCGTCCAAGCCAGCATTGACGACCAGGAAGGTTTTGCTACGTGTTTGGGCAGATTTTTATTGAATCAGCTACTAAGAGCTGCTCTCCTACGGCCAAACTCTTAATTCATACTTACACTGTTAAAAATTGAAATGTCTAAAGGAAGAAATCACCCAGAAACGGCTACTTCATAGGAGAGGAATTATGTTCCATGTGGACAACGCCAGACCACACACATCGATAGTGACTCGCCAGAAGCTCCGAGAGCTTGGTTTCAAGGTTCTTATGCATCCATCTTATAGTGCGGACGTGACCGGCACCACCCGTTCTTGACTATGGCGAATAGTTTTGCTGGTGAAAAATTTATCTCAAGAGAGGCTTGTAAAAATTGTCCCAGTTTTTCGTCAATAAGAACGATATGAGAGTGGCAGAAAACAATTACCTTCAAAATAACAACAACAAACGGTGCTTATTTGACCTCAATCGTACTTTTTTTTTGCTACGAGTTTAGCAGTGACATGTTTCATACCCTAAACATTAACCAAAATGTGTTCAGTGGATCTATCACAGATGTTGAGGCCCTCTGCTAGCTCTCTGATATCAACACGATAATTTTCAAGCACTGTTTCTTTAACTTTTTCAAGGTTATCATCATTAACAGAGGTGGATGGACGACTTGCATGAGGTAAGTTTTCGATGACTTCACAATCTTCACTGAATACTTTGTGCCACTCAAATACTTGTATTCGTGATAAAGTAGCTCAGAAACACACCAATTGACACAGAGATCAAAATTAACACGAACATATAAAAGAGTTGTACGAAACCAGGAAAACGCAGTTTAAATAAATCCGTCCGATCAAATTTGATCAGATGGTATAATTGCAGTTCTTCTTTGTATAAGGACCGAATAAAAGCTATTTAATAATTGAAGACAATGAAACAACTTCATTTGACTTCTTGAATTATAATTTATTTATAGAATAAAAATCGAATATTTTACAAAATTTGATTACTTTGTTTGTTATTTATTTTTCTTTTGTTTGATAACAATTTGTAAAAAGTTTTTTTCACAAACTTTTCTTTAAAAAAGTTTTTTTATTTGATGCAACCTTTATATATTTACGTACAGTGTTTGGGTATAAATGGATAAGAGAATGCAATAAGAACACAAAATTTAGGGAACTAACAAAAAAGATAAAACAATTACACAGGATTTCGATGATAGTGAATAACTAAAGGACTAATATATATTTTAAGTTGTTTTATAGTAGTAATTTACAGTGATTGTCTGTATTAGTAATATGTACTCGATGTGATAAGTGAGAGATTCTAACTAACTAAAGAACCTTAAGAGTATATTATGTATATGACAGTCTGCTCGTTGGACAGTTAACAGCAAAGAATTAAGGTATTTTTAAAATATATGTATGTATACAAAATATAGGATAAATCTTCGTCTGTTTAAATATGTCTCCAGTAATAGTTTCATACATTTCTATTAATGTTCAAAAAATTTATTAAAACAATAAGGTTAACGAACAGACCACGACTGCAAAATAACTGAGTTTATATACATAGTATGTGATAGGATTTAGAGGTACAAGTTTATTTAATATTTAATTTTAAAGCATTAATTTCTTATCAGAGCAAACTATCAGCTAGAAATGCGAATCACAATTGATAAATTTATACAAATACACATATAACAGATAACATACATTGCAAAGCAATCAATTGCTAAAATCAAATTTGTCAAATAATAAAATCAAATGCAGGTTATACTCACATACTATATATGTTTTAGAGTTATTGATACTCAGAGGAACATTACATTGCATTCACTTTGGAGCTGGTTGGTGGTTCTGTTGGGCAGAACTAAAGCGTTACATATATGTATATCACTTATTCACAATTAGGCTATTGTGCATACGAATAGGAGCTATATCGGCGGCGGCGATAGTACAGCATGAATATGTAGGAGAGCAGTAGCATAAAGCAGATAACTGAACCCAATATGGCTGTGATTAGAAAATACCTGATATTAGAAAATAGTATAGCATTGCATTTGTAAAGTAGGCTTACCATAGATGCCTATATTAGCCTCATCGTAGGGCATCATCATAGTGCTTAGTCTCATCTTCTCCCAATCTACGGCAAAAATCTTTATAAATGTGTGCATTTGTTCCAGTGGACAGACACGCCACAATCGGGTATATTCAGTAGTGGCTCAGCCGACGTGTTTTGAATATTGACACAAAGGTTGATTATGTCTCATCAATCGCAATTCGAATAGTAAACAAGCGGTATAACCGGGGCTTTTCATCTGAAAGTGTGACATATTTTTATAGTATAAACAACGATAAGTCTTGGCGCATTATTATTATGCTAGAGCATACTACATCATACAATTTGAGTGTGTTCAAAACGTCTGCCAGTCTGTCGTGCGCTATAACCACACTCGCACGATCGGGCTTGAGTGAACGCGCGCCTTCTCCCGAAGCGTTGTAGCATCTTTTATCAGCGGTCCGGCCTTTAAACGTGCCATGCGGCGCGATACGTGTTGATTGAAAATGCAAAATCGGCTATGTAGGTCATATCGGCGCTGGGATACCTTCTGGTCCATTCGGGCAAGTACGATTGTAGAGTTCTCAATGAAAATGTATTATCATGCGTTGTATAGCCTCCAATGTATCCACTTTGACCCGAATATTTGGTCAAGTATCAAAAATATTGATAGCGTTGATTTAGCTCTTGAAGGTAATCGAATCTAAAAGTGCGTGAGCGCGCATAATCGTAGGCGGCACAAGGCACTTTACCAGCCAACTCCAAAAGGTAGAAACAATTACAATATAAACAAAAGCATTTGAAATTAAAAGCGTTTAGCACCTTATCGTCCCTTTCGTTTGGAATGCACCGGTATCGGTTGCGCTATATCTTTGTCCAAATCTCATCGCCTATCGGAGGATACAGTCCGCTAAATTCGACAACGCATTGCAGCGTAGATCAACATCGGTTGAGCGAATAAACTCTCATTCTCGGTAGGTTTCATTCAATAGCGTTATAGCGTTGGCGTAACCATTTCAAGCTGGTAGTGCTGGTATTTCCTGGTCTGTAATTGAAAAGGCAAAACGTTGTTGGAAATATATATATAATGTGTGGTTTTAAGTTAAAACGATATGTATTTGAAACTATATATGTTTTAAATAAACTAATTGTATTTATTATAATCTAATCTGCAAAGTGGGCGAATAAACATTCATTATCTTTATATATTATATATACATGTAAGAGAGTCAAAAAGCGAATATTACATCAAAATAGGTTCTTGACGCCTTGAAAGTCTCTTCATGAACTCAATTGTAACAGGTCTCCGCCCTTCTAATTTTCTGACCTTCCTCCTTCCGTACTTACCGCCCTTATCAAACCAAATTTGTCAATAGTTATGCCCGTAGTAGCAACGCAGAAATCAGTTGTTCTCTTTGTTTTCATTTCACCAATGTTTCATTGTTCTACTTTGATACACAAATTTTCACACATTTAGTTTTAGTTATAACTTTCATAATGTAAAAGCTTAAACTAAAGTCAAATATTAAAATAATCTACCTATTTATAAATAAGTATTTGACAGTGATTTTGAGTTATTTAAGAATATTTCAAATAATCTAAGTTTATTTTTAATTACTACAAATATCGAGATTCCTTTATTTTCGGATATCCTATCTATGGTCTGTAAAGCGGTGGGAGTGTTCATTTACTTGCGCTCTCATAAGATATGTTTTATCATGATCTGATCCACGGTTTGCGTCGGTGATCGTTTGAACAATTACGATTTTCGTTTAAACTCCATACAAAATTTACTGTTCTACAAATTGGTCTTGACTCACCCTAATATATATATATATTATACTTGTATTTATTTTATTGCGTTCTTGGTGGTTAGAATTAGTAATTGCAATCATTAGCTAGCACTAAATAAACAAGTTTTCAAAACTTAATTTTGATCGCTCAGTTGCAGATTGCAGCGTTCTCGAACAATAATCCATGTCTTGAATTCCATGAAGGTACCTCGTCAAAAAACGTTTTCCATACAAGGACTTCATTTTAAACGTTCAGTTTGTATGGCAGCTATATTGTAGTGGTCATCGGCAGTCTTGACTAATGAGCGCTTCGATATCTTAAAACTAATGGACTTGTTCGCGTATATACACAAATAGACGGATTGGATATGGTTAGTATATATAGAATATTTTTATAGGGTCCTGACATCTCCTTTCGGATGTTACAAACTGTGGATTGTTTGCCATGTTTCTCTGTTCAGGTACAAAACTCAGATGTAGCCTTGATAGCAAAATATATACAAATAAAATTTAATTAATCCAATATAAAGTTCTCGTGATATTCTAATGATCAAGTAATAAAGAGTCAATCCAATGACACGCTACTATTTGAAATCA